ACAGGAATGAAGAGGCTAGAGTGTGGAAGAGGCTTGATAGAGCTATGGTCAATGACAACTGGTTACAAGGAATCCCTCAAACTGCTATTACCCATCTCCCTTCAGTGGGTTCTGATCATTGTCCCTTATTGATGGAGATTGTAGATAAAGTGAAGCAACCTATCAAATATTTCAAGTTCTTGCACTGCTGGACTGAACATAAGGAGTTTAATAATGTGGTTAAAGCCTGCTGGGACAGGGAAGTGGAAGGTAATCCTATGTGGAGATTATAACAGAAAATGAAGAGGTTGACTGCTACTCTTAGTAATTGGTTCAGAACAACTTATGGAGACATTTTCAGCATTGTTCGAGATCATGAGGAGAGAGTTAGAGTGTCTGAGGAAGCACTGATTGTTAATAATTATGTTGAAAATAGAGCAAACTTACACAGGATTAATGCCAGGTACATCAAATACTTGAAGTTGGAAGATTCTATCCTCAAACAAAAGACTCAATTGCAGTGGTTTAAAGATGGTGACAACAACTCCAAGTACTTTCATGCCATTATGATAGGTCGAAGAAGGAAACTTTTTATCCATATATATAAGGAGACCTTTGTGGGACTGGTTAATTGTTTATGCTAATATAGATTTACCTTGGTGTACAATGGGTGATTTCAATATTATCACCTATATAGAGGAGAAGCTTGGGGGAATACCTTACAATATGAATAACAGCCCATCAATGAGGATATATTACAACATATCCCAAGAATGGTCACTCCTGAGCAAAATATGACTCTCCAAGCAATGCCTACTAGTGAAGAATTGCAGCAGGTGGTCTTTTCTATGAATCCCAATTCAGCTCCTGGTCCGGATGGGTTTGGTGTGAAGTTTTTTCAGAGTTGCTGGGGCATCATCAAAGAAGATATTTTGAATGCTGTCCATGCCTTCTTCTGTGGTTCCTTCATGCCCAAGTTCATTTCACATGCAAGTTTGGTTCTACTCCGAAAAGTAGATCATCCTAATAATTTTTCAGAATTCAGACCCATAAGTTTGAGCAACCTTACCAACAAAATCATTTCCAAAATTTTATGCCGCAGACTTGCTCCTATGCTGCCTAATATTATCTCCAACAACCATCTGGTTTTGTTAGAGGAAGGAGTATTTCAGAGAGTGTCATGCTGGCACAGGAGATTATACATGGCATCAAAAAACCTAAGGAAGGGGATAATGTGGTGATTAAGTTGGACATGACAAAGGCATATGACAGAGTGTCATGGGCCTTTACTAGTCTGGTTTTAAGACACATGGGATTTGGAGAATTTTTCATTGACATAGTGTGGAGGATTATGAGTAATAATTGGTACTCTATTATAGTCAACGGGACAAGACATGGTTTTTTCCATTCTACAAGAGGTCTCAAGCAGGGGGATCCTCTCTCCCCATCCCTATTTATTTTAGGGCTGAGGCGTTGTCTAGAATGCTTAATAACCTATATGACAATCAACATTTCCATGGGTTCCAAATGGACTTCAGAAGGCCTCAGATCAATCACTTAAGCTTCGCTGATGATGTTATCATTTTTACTTCAGGAAGAGAAGAGTCTCTGAAGCTCATTATGGAAACACTGTCAACCTATGAAGATACCTCAGACCAACTCATCAACAAAGGAAAAAGTCACTTCATGGTTCCTAAAGATACACCTTCTCACATTATTGATATGATTCAGGAAATCACTGGCTTCAACCAAAGTGAAAGTCCTACAAATTACCTTGGCTTCCCCCTTTACATAGGAGGACAAAGGATTATTTATTATTTAGATTTGGTGGCAAAGGTTGTCAAAAAGATCAGTGGCTGGCATTCTCGAATCCTAAGTTTTTGTGGGAAAGCTACATTGGTTAAACATGTACTTCAATCAATACCTATTCATACTATGGCAACTATTTCCCCTCCCAGAACTACCTTGCAATATATCAAAGGACTGACATCAGACTTCTTTTGGGGAATGGAAAGAGACAAGAAAAAATACCATTGGGCATCTTGGGAATCTCTTAGTTTCCCTTATGAAGAGGGTGGTATTGGTGTGAGGCATCTTAACGACGTTTGCAACTTCTCTCCAAATTAAACAGTGGTGGAACTTCAGGACCAAACACTATTTATGGGGTCAATTTCTAAAAGCCAAGTACTGCCAGAGGTCTAACCAAGTAGCTAAGAAAAGGGGGCTACAGGAGATCTTTGGTGTGGAAATACATGTTGAGGAACAGGGAGATGGTGGAAACTGAAATAGACTGGAGAATAAATACGGGAAATGCCCTTTTCTGGTGGGATAATTGGATGGGGGAAGGACCTCAAGCTCACCTTTGTCATGGCATAACTTGCTTGAATAATACTCAAGTTTCTTATTTTTTAAGTCATGGACAGTGGAATAAAACTTTGGTGAGAATGCATGCCCCACCTTTGCTAGTTCCCAAAGTGCTTAGCATTGTTATTCACTACCAAGCAGGAGTCACTGATGAAGCATATTGGAAGCGAAATGAAAATGGGGCTTTCACCTGTTCATCTGCTTAGAACCTAGTGAGGGGCAAGAAGAACAAGAGTAGACTATTCTCTACTATTTGGCATAAACAAGTTCCATTCAAAGCTTCCTTTCTATTGTGGAGGGCTCTCAAATTCAAACTTCCTACCAATGATAAGTTGAGGACTTTTGGAGTGCAGCCAGCAACATGTTTTTGCTGCATTAGACCAGGATTGGATGATATTGAACACATTTTTGTTATAGGCAATTTTGCAGCTCATATCTGGAGGTATTTCTCAGGGCTGTTGGGAATTATTCACAACCCCAGGCCACTGAAAAATCTCCTGATGAACTGGTGGGGAATGGCTGCAAAAAATGAGGTCTACAAACTCATTATTCAGACCCTTCCCATATTAATTTGTTGGAATCTCTGGAAGAACAGATGCTCGGTGAAATATGGCCAGAAAAAATCTAATGTGGCAAGAGTGAAGTACATGATTTTTAAAGAAACTTTCCAACTTCTCATGGTCACTTATCCCTATTGTTCTTGGCCTAATAATTGGGAAGATATGATCAATGAAGTTGAGAAATGCTCCCAGGATATCAGGATCATCACGATCAGTTGGCAAAGCCCTCCCAACCCCTTTTTGAAGCTTAATACAGATGGAAGCGCATTGCATAACCTAGGGAAGATAGGAGGAGGGGGTATATTGAGGGACTCCAATGGAAACATGATATATGCATTCGCAATCCCCCTTGGTATTGGCACCAATAACCAAGCTGAAACACAGGCCGCAACTCACGGATTGGACTGGTGCGTTCAACATGGTTACAGGAAACTCATCTTAGAAGTGGACTCAGAACTACTTACCAAATGGCTCAATCACAAAAGCAAGCCACCCTGGAAATTGCAGCAGTACATCACTCAACTTCACCAGATTATTACTCAGCTGGATTTCTTCAAATGCCAGCATACCTACAGAGAAGCCAATACAAGAGCAGATATTTTGTCCAAGGATAGTCACAGATCATACATCACTCAGCACTTCTACACTCAGAACCAGCTACCTGCAACAGCTAAAGGAAGTTTCCTTCTGGAAAGATAGGAATGACCAACTTAAGGAGGAAAAAGCTGAAAAGAATTAAAAAACCACCTTGATTAAGGTGTTTCCCTCCCTTTTCAACTTGACTATGTCTAGAAGTAGGTATAGTTTTTTTGAATAAGCTTTTTCTCATTCCTTTGTAAGGGGAGAGTCTCCCTTATTTATATTTTCCTAGTATCCTTGTATTGAGAGGAGTCCTCTCCTTAGGTGCTTAGAACTAGGTTTCCTTTTTATAGTATGGGGATGAGTTGAATCTCCTTAGTAGGAAGTTCGACCCTTGAAACAACATAGGACCGGAGGTAAGGTTTTATGTCCCCCTCCTTGTACTTATTTTTATTTTATTTATGGTAAGGCCTGGGGGTGTCGCTAAGCCCCTGACCCATCAAAGGGTCATTAAAAAAAAAAAAAAAAAAAAACCCTAAACTCTAAATCCAAACCCTATATCCGAAACTCAAAATCCTGAATCCTAACACTTAACCCTAAACCCTAAACCTTAAACCTAATACCTAAACCCTAAACCCTAATCCCTAAACCCTAAACCCTAACCTAAACCCTAAACCTTAAACCCTACACCCTAAACCCTACACCCTAAATGCTAAACCCTAAACCCTAAACTCTAAACCCTAAATCTTAAACCTTAAACCCTAAAACCTAAAACCTAAATCGTAAACCCTAAAACCAAAATCCTAATATCTAAAACCTAAACCGTAAACATTAAGCCCTAAACCCTAAATCCTAAATACTAAACCTTAAACCCTAGGTCCTAAACCCCTAAACCCTAAACCTTAAATCTGAACTTTTAATCGTAAACTCTAAACCCTAAATCATAAACACGAAACTCAAAACCCTAAACCCTAACCATAAATCCTAAACCCTAAACCCTAAACCCAAAACACTAAACCCAAACCCAACCTTATATACTAAGATCAAAACTCTAAACCCTAAAAACTAAACCCTAAACCTAATTCCTAAACTCTTAACTCTTATCCTAAATCCTAAATCCTAAATCCTAAACGCAAAACCCTAAATACTAAACTCTAGACCCTAAACCCAAAACCCTTCAACCTGAATCCTAAAATCTAAAGCCTAAACCCTAAACCCTAAATCCTAAACACTAAACCATAAAACCTAAACCCTAAACCTTAATCCTTAAACCTTATACCCTTAATCATAAACCCTGAACCCTGAACCCTAAACCCTAAACCCTAAACCCTAAACCCTAAACCCTAAGCCATATACCCTGAACCATAAACCCTAAACCATTAACACTAAATCCTAAACCCTAAACCCGAAACCCTAAACCCTAAATCTTAAACCCTAAACCCTAAATCAAAACTGTGAACCCTAAACATAAAATCCTAAACCTCAACCGTAAACCCTAAACCTTATACCCTTAACTGAATGCTCCCATCCCCTGAAGCCCTTGATAATGTTGTTACTGAGAATGTTGTTGAGGAAGCTGTTGGAGGTATGGCTGGGAGGATACAGGAGACAGCTACTAATGTGCAGGAAGGGGTGCCCAAAGGGAGGGGAGAATTGCCTCATGTTGTACATGAGGTTGTCGTTGATCTTAGTAGTGACTATAGAGGCCTTAATACCCCTATTTCAATTCACAAAACTACTGGGCAGCAAGGTGACATTGATACTGGTCAACAGAAAGACAAGTTCAATAATAAATCAGAAGGTAGGTTGAGTAAAAAAAGAAGAGATACTATAAAAAAAAGACAGAATTCTGATCAGGTTTCAGATAATGGACCACACACAGAGGATCAGGATGTCAACAAGGGTAGACATTATAGGCCACCTCAAGATGATTATGGGGCTTTGAATTCTGAAGATGAATTGGATTCTGATAATCAGTCCATTGATGAATCTGATGAAGAAGAGGAAGACAACAACAATCAGCCTCCTCATACCTTCGGTTCCACCTTTAAGGATAAATGGCCTGAAGAAGTTCATGAACTTACAGCAAAACAAGGTCTATCCCCAAGAGGTAGGGAACAAAGTAGACAAACCAAGCAACAAACTATCAGTACATCTGCAAACTCTGGCAGGCCCATCACAAGGTCCAAATCTAAAGGTTGTTAATGATTAAGGCCCTATGTTGGAATGCTAGGAGTATCAACACTCAAGGTTCTTTGGAAAGGATTCAAAAACTCAAGAAACTGCATCACTTAACTCTGATTGCTGTTCTCGAACCATTTACAGACAATTCTCAAATCAACATGCTGAGAATTCAACTTCAAATGGACCATGCAGTATGTAATCCTAATGGTAAAATTTGGCTGTTTTGGTCTGATGAAATCACTAGTGATATTTTGTAAAATCATGAGCAACATATTACATGCAACTTCACACACCCTGATCTCCCTGAGCAGTTCATGATATCCTTTATTTATGCTAAATGTAAGGATCATTTGAGGAGACCTTTGTGGGATAGGTTATTATTTTATGCTAATCTTGATACACCTTGGTGTACAATTGGAGACTTCAATGTTATCACATCTATAGAGGAAAAGCTTGGGGGAATGCCTTACAACATGAATAAGAGCTTTGAGTTTATTAGTGTGCTAGAACCATGTGGTTTAACTGATTTAGGATATACAGGGTTTCCATTAACATGGTGTAATCAAAGAGATGCACAAGCTAGAGTATGGAAGAGATTAGATAGGTCCATGGTTAATGATAAATGGTTAGAGGTTATGCCTCAAACTACTATTGATCATTTATCCTCTGTTGGCTCTGATCACAGTCCTCTGCTACTGGAACTGACTAAGACAAATGAGAGTCATACAAAATACTTCAAATTTTTAAATTTCTGGGTTGAAAATGCCACCTTTATGAAAACAGTCCAACAGTGTTGGGAAAAGGGAGTTACTGGTAACCCAATGTGGAGACTGCATCAGAAAATGAAGAGATTAACATCCACCCTTAGCAATTGGTCTAAACAAGAATATGGAGATATCTTTATTAAGGTAAGGAAATTTGAGGATACAATAAGGAAATATGAGGAGGAACTTATGACAAACAACACAAAAGTTCTTAGACAAAATTACATCATATAAATGCCACTTACATTAGGCATTTGAAACTGGAGGAATCTATCCTTAAACAAAAGACACAACTACAATGGTTTAAGGAAGGTGATGGCAATACAAAGTACTTTCATGCTTTGATGAGAGGTAGAAGAAGGAGGTTAGAGGAATGGATACAAGGTGAGGAGCAAATAGCTCAGGCAACTTGTAATTATTATCAACACATATTTACTGGATATAATGACAGAATTGATGAAAGAATCCTTTGGCATATTCCTACAGTGGTTACTCCTGATCAGAATGATATGCTGCAAGCAATGCCTACTTTAGAAGAACTCCGACAGGTTGTGTTTGCCATGAATCCCAATTCAACAGCAGGTCCAGATGGTATAGGGGGCAAATTTTTTCAAGCTTGTTGGAATATCATTAAGGAAGATTTATTGACAGCTGTACAGTCCTTCTTTTGTGGTCACATTATGCCTAAGTTCATGTCTCATGCATGTTTAGTTTTGCTTCCCAAAACTGAACAGCCTACCACATTTACAAACCTTAGACCGATTAGTCTTAGTAATTTTACTAATAAGATAATCTCCAAATTATTAAGCATGAGATTGGCTACTGTTTTACCTCTTTTATTATCAGCTAATCAGTCTGGGTTTGTCAGAGGTAGAAGTATTTCAGAAAGTATTATGCTTGCGCAAGAAATTACTCATCGCACTAAGAAAACTCATATAGGAACTAATATGGTCATCAAACTAGATATGACCAAGGCATATGATAGAGTGTCTTGGCCTTTTACATGTTTGGTTCCAAGGAGATTTGGTTTTGGGGAGGTTTTTATTGACCTGGTTTGGAGAATAATAAGTAACAATTGGTATTCTATAATAATTAATGGTCATAGACACGGTTTTTTTCATTCCACTAGAGGGCTTAAGCAAGGTGACCCTTTATCCCCTGCCCTATTTATTTTAGGTGCAGAGGTATTGACAAGGATGCTTAATTCTCTACATCAGATTCCTAGTTATAAAGGTTTTTTCAGGGAGTCTAAAGGCCCTCAGATCAATCACTTAAGTTTTGCAGATGATGTAATTCTTTTTTCCTATACTGACAGACATTCCTTGCAACTCATTATGGATACTTTAGGGGAGTATGAACATACTTCTGTCCAGCTTATTAATAAAGGAAAGAGTCATTTTATGGTCCCCGATACTACCACACAAGACATTATTCATACCATTCAAGATGTTACAGGTTTTTCCTAGAAAAGTAGTGCCATTACTTATCTAGGATGCCCCCTTTATATTGGTCAACAAAGGATCATTTATTATTCTCAGTTAGTGGAGAAAGTCTCCAAAAAGGTTTGTGGATGGCAAGCAAGAATTCTTAGTTTTGCGGGTAGAATTACACTGATCAAACATGCTCTGCAATCTATACCTATACATACTATGGCTGCAATCTCTCCTCCAAGAACTACTATTAAATACATTGAGGCCATTATTGCAGACTTCTTCTGGGGGAGGGAGCTGGATAAAAGGAAGTATCATTGGGCTTCCCTGGACACTATGAGCTTAACTTGTACAGAAGGAGGGATAGGGATAAGAAAACTCACAGATATTTGCACATCTTTACAATACAAACAATGGTGGACTTTCAGGTCTAAGGATTCTTTGTGGAGTCAATTTCTTAAAGCCAAATATTGTCAAAGAACTCATCCAGTCGCAGAAAAGGTGGATACTGGACAATCCTTGATGTGGAAATATATGACGAGGAACAAGATTATAGTAGAAGATTATATCGGCTGGAAAATCAATTCTGGAAGTTGCTCATTTTGGTGGGATGACTGGCTAGGAAGGGGTGCTCTAGATAACTGTACTACTTCTGTATCAAGTCTCAATAATGCTACTATTGCACACTTTTTAGTAAATGGCAAATGGAATGAAAGGAAGTTGAGGCAGCAGGTTCCCCCTCTTCTTATTCCCTCTATTTTAAATACTAACTTTGTATATTTGTAGGGAGTTAAAGACACTGCAGTTTGGAAACATACTGAATCTGGAAATTTCTCCTGCACATCAGCCTGGGAAATTTGCAGAAAAAAGAGGACATTGCAGTCATTAATTCTCAAATTTTGGCCTAAACATGTTCCTTTCAAAATGTCATTCTTACTATGGAGAGCAATAAGACATAAATTGCCAACCAATGAAAAATTAACTTCTTTCGGGATGGAACCTGAGAAATGTTACTACTGCATTCAGCAGGGTTGGGATGAAGTGAATCACATTTTTATTCAAGGCCATTTTGCAGCCCATATCTGGAAGTTTTTTGCAGGTAGCATGGGTATCAATTTTCAGAAGACCTCACTGAGTAACTACCTACTGTGTTGGAGTGCTATTACAGTGAAGAATGAAGCACACATGACATTCATACAGTCTCTTCCTATAGTAATATGCTGGAATCTATGGAAAAATAGATGTTCAGCTAAATATGGAAGAAAGAAATCCAGTATCCACAAAGTTAAATATTTGATTCTCAAAGACATGCTGTTAATTCTTAACTCTGTTTTTCCTTACATGCACTAGCTTGTGATATGGCCAGCAGTCATAGATTGTATTGAAAAATGTAAACAGGAGATAGGAGTTACTCCAGTTATGTGGAAGCGTCCTCCTCCTAATAGATATAAGCTGAACACGGATGGTAGTGCATTGCATAACCCGGGGAAAATTTGAGCGGGAGGCATTCTAAGAGATGAACAAAGGATCATTATTTATGCGTTTGTTGTACCCTTTGGTGTAGGGACAAATAATCAAGCTGAGTTGCAGGCTGAATGTTATGGATTAAACTGGTGTATATAACATGGTTACACTAGTATCATATTAGAAATTGATTCAGAATTACTAACTAAATGGTTCTTGCAAGTTTCTAGTCCCCCTTGGAGGATACACAGGTATATACACGAATTACAGCTGCTTGCTAATCAATGTATACATTTTCAGTGTCTTCATACGTACAGGGAAGCTAATAGTACAGCAGACCTCTTGGCCAAACACAGTCACAAACAGGATATTGTACAACATTATTACACTCAATTTCAATTGCCCATGCAATAAAAGGAAGCTACATTTTTGAGAAAATGGGGGTACAAAATTTCAGACGAAAGAAGTTGAAAAGGATCAAACAACCACCTTGATTATATTAAGTCTCTTCTAGCAAAACGGGAAGCAGCACTTAAAGGACAAATGCTATGCATCAGGCTGCTATCAAGTTGAAAAGACAACAGTATATCAAACAAGCATAATATCTATTTCCTTCATTTACATGAGATACATTCTACTCAAATTACTATGTCTTTAGGTATAGTAGTTTGTTTGGATTTATTTCATTCTTTCTTGTAAGGAGAGAGTCTCTCTTATTTATGTATTATTAGTAACTTTGTATTAAGAGATGAGTCTTCTCTAGGTGCTTAGTTAAATATTACATCTTATTGTATAGGGTGGTCGACTAACCTTAGTAGGTCGGTTGATTCTTGCCCACCTTAGGATTGGAGGTAAGGTATATGTCCCCATTCGTGTATATTTTTGAATTTATTTATGATAAGGCCTGGGGTTGTTGCTCAGCCCCTGATGCACCTCATGGGTCGTTCAACAAAAAAAAAAAAAAAAACTCTAAAACCCTAAATCCTAAACTCTAAACCCCAAATCCTAAACTCTAAACCCTAAACCCAAAACCCTAAACCATAACCTTAAACCCTGAACAATAAACTCTAAATCTTAAACCCTAAACACTAAATCCTAAACCCTAAACTCTAAACCTAATCCCTAAACCCATCCCCTCTTCATTTCATGAATTTTTTCTCTCTCTAAAATTTTTCTCTCTCTAGAATTCTTCAAGAAATTAGCTATCTCGGCTAAATTCACAAAGTTTTAACATCAATAAAATGGAAAAAATGTTGCTAGATGATCGATTCAGGCCACCAGATCCTTCTACAGTGATGCCCACACCAAATATACATCATCTGTTACCAGAATCGTCTTCAGCTTCATCCTACAACTCCTCGAAGGTGAGAGAAGAGGCGATTCATATTGCTATGGCGGAAAGGGAGTTGGATGGCACTCGCACTCATATATCCATGGAAGATTTGTGTCAAATTCAAGGAAAAGGGGCAGGCGAAAAAGATTTCTAGTTCCAAGATCGACATAATAGTCAAAACCCACTTGATTTCACCATCCTAGTTGAGCGAAATACACAGGCGAAGGTGACGGGTGATTCATCCCAAAGGCGCCACCAAAATCGAAGCAATATAGAGGTGATTTACGATGATTCTATTATTGGGGATTGTAATATTGGTCGTGGAAGTCATAATATTGAAGCTTCAAGCTCATCTCAAGGTGGAATTGTCGGCGCAGGTGATTCTGCAAGGATTCCGGCGACGAATTAGGAAATATACAATATGAAGAGGAAATTGAAATTCAACATAGAGAAGGAAAGCAACATGTTCAAGATTTGGGACAATCGAGCACTTCTCATATGGATGAACAACTTATCAAGAATCAAACCAAGAACACAGGTATACCTCATATTGATAAATCTCATACACTTGTGATTCCTGCGAGTCAAATTCCTGCGAATTTTGGTAATGAACAGCGTAGAAAGGAGAATGAGCAAATTTGGGTTGCTAAAGAACAAAGGAAAAGTAATACGATTAAGGCTAGCATTAGAATTGATCAACAACAGGTTTATCAATAGAATGTTCTTATAATTTCTAGTAATTTTGATAAATCTGTTCAAAAAGTTAATGCATATAATGTTGGAAATGATCGTCCTCTTGGTAACATTCCTAATCTTCCCAAAACTGATCCATTAGCTGCTCCTGCCCTTTATACTGTTGTACAAACTTATGCTGATAGACTTAGGTACAATCAGGCCAAATGTAATGTTTCCATTACATTGACAGCACCTGAAATTACCACTAAACAGGGTCTGCGTGCAGTGTTATATGTGAAAGAAGAGGTCATGAAAGATTTAGCAGCCACCTGCCAATATACCCTCATTGGGGAAATTTTAGTAACACCATGCCTAAAGTGGAGCTTATTAGGAATAATTTCATTCTACAAACTCAACTATCCGGGGGAGTTAAAATTGACCCATTTTAATTCTAGACATGTATACAATGATCTTGATAATGAGCTGGATTATAATATGGTTTGGACTAAGCAAAAGATGATATAGCAGGGCAGGTAATGAGAATTCAAGTGTGGACTCCTAATTTTAAACCGGCTGAAGAAACTCCTATAGTCCCTATTTGGATTTCATTACCTGAGCTACCTTGGCACTATTATATTAAAGACTTTGTTTCTGGATTGCTTTCACCTATTGGCAAGGTTTTATACTTGGATTCTGCATCTATTAAAATGACTAGGGGTAGTCAAGCAAGGGTGAAGGTCCAAGTTGATCTTACTGAAAAAAGACCCCCTTACATTAGGATGGGCTATGGAGGGGAGGATATCACTGATGGGAGATGGCAGACAATAGAGTATGATAACATTCCGGATTATTTTTTCTACTGTAAGCATCAAGGACACTTGGAAAGTGATTGTACCATAAGGCAAAGAGATGAGGACAAAAAGAAAAAGGAGTTCGAGAATGTGAGGAACAAACATACTAAAGATAAGGATAATAATCCACAACAATCTAAGGGTCACAAAGAAAGTGAGCAGAATGAAGATAATAATCAGCATTATAAGCATCAAAGAGATCAAGAGCACATGCAGTATCAACAAGATGATCAGTGGCAAAGACAAAGGAGAAGGAACAATAATCAACCACAGGCACCTAGAGACCACACCAGACAAGCAGAGTAGTCCACCAAACAGGCAGGTATAACTACTATTCCTACACAAAATACATATATTAATGTTGATATGCAGGAGTCATCACCTAGTTTAGAGGTTCTGGACAAATACAAAGGCAATAAAAGTGATAGCAGACCTCAGACATCAGCAACTCAAAGGCAAGTCCAGGATGAGTATAATAGAAAATCAGCAAGCATTGGACAGGACAACATTAACAGGCCTGTACAGGAGGATAAAAGTTCTGCATAGGTAACACAGATTAATAAAAGACAGGAAGCGTCTACAGGACAAGCTGTTACAAGTATTGACTTAATGCTCCCATCCCCTAACCCCATTACTAATGTTGACAATATTATTGCTAAGGTAGCTATTGGAGGTTTGGATGGGAAGGGTCAGGAGACACCTACTAACTTGCAGGAAGGGGTTTCCAAAGGGAGGGAGGACCTGACTCATGCTAGCCATGAGGAACTGGATAGTGACCCTAGTGGAGTCTATAGAGTCCCTGCTACCCCTATCACTAATCAATAACAAATTGGCACTCAACAGGTTACAGATACAGGGCAACAACAGGGCAGATTTAATAATAAATCTGGTGACAGATTGAGTAAAAAGAAAAGAGAGGCTATCAAAAAGAGACTGCAGCAGAGTATGGGTAAAAAATCATATGTTATAGCTGCAGACAAACAGATTGAAGAACAATTCTCTCATCAAGATCAGAATATTACAAATATAAGACAGAATAATGATGAACAGGTTGTTAATAAAGGTAATAAGGTTAAGGTGAATCCTGATGACTATGGGCTCTTAATTCTAAGGATGAACTTAATCCTGACAACCAATCTATGGATGGTTCTGATGAGGATTAAAAGGACACCATGAAACATACTGATCAGGTTGTTGGTTCTACTTTCCAGGATACGTATTCTGATGTTCAAAGAATGACTGAACAACAGGGTTTATCCCCAAGAGGAAAGAAGCAAACTTGACACCACCCTCATCAGCCTATTACCAGCATGTCTGACAACTCTAGCAGGCCCATGACTAGGTCCAAATCAAAATGTTATTAATGATTAAGGTTATTTTTTGGAATGCTAGGAGTATCAATACCAAAGGATCTTCGGAAATGTTTCAAACTCTCAAGAAACTTCATCACCTATCTATTATTGCTATTCTGGAACCATTTGCTAATAACTATCATATAGATATAGTGAGAAGTCAATTATAGATGGATCAAGCAGTTACTAATGATAATGGGAAAATCTGGATATTTTGGTCTAATGAGGTCACTGGTCGTATTATGGAAACACATTATCAACATATTACAATAACTTTTCATCACACAGATATGTCTGAAAATTTCATGTTGTCTTTTATATATGCTAAATGTAAAGAATACATGAGGAGATCTTTATGAGACAGACTCTTGTTTTATGCTAATATGGAAGTATCTTTGTGTACAATTGGTGATTTCAATGTTATCACATCTATAGAGGAGAAGCTTGGGGGAATACCTTACAATATGAATAAGAGTTTTGAATTTATTGGAGTAATAGATGCTTGTGGATTATCTGATTTAGGATACACAGGACTTCCATTCACTTGGTGTAATCAAATGGATGCATAAGCTAGAGTTTGGAAGAGATTAGATAGGTCTATGGTTAATGATAAATGGTTAGAGGTTATGCCTCAAACTATTGTTGAGAATTTATCCTCTGTTGGTTCTGATCATAGTCCCCTGTTGATGGAAATGACTAAGGTTATTGAGAGTCACATCAAATATTTCAATTTCTTACCGACTAAGGTTATTGAGAGTCACATCAAATATTTCAAGTTCTTACATTTTTGGGTTGACAATGTCACTTTTTTGAAGACAGTAC